TCTATTGTTTAAAATAGTTTCAGAAGGAATGGAACCCTCTCCTTGTTGTACCTCTGGTAGAATTTGGCTGTGAACCCAATCTGGACCTGGACTTTTTTTAGTTGGTAAGCTATTAATTGCTGCCTCAATTTCAGACCTTGTTATTAGTTTATTCAGGGTTTCAACTTCTTCCTGGTTTAGTCTTGGGAGGGTGTAAGCATCCAGAAATTTATCCCTTTCTTCTAGATTTGCTGGTTTATTAGCATAGAGGTGTTTATAGTATTCTCTGATGGTAGTTTGTATTTCTGTGGCATGGTGGTGATATCCCCTTTATCATTTTTTATTGCATCTATTTGATTCTTCTCTCTTTTCTTCTTTATGAGTCTGGCTAGCAGTCTATTTACTATGTGGATCTTTCAAAAAACCAGATCCAGGATTAGTTGATTTTTTAAAGTTTTTTTGTGTGTGTGTCACTATCTCCTTCAGTTCTGCTCTGATCTTAGTTATTTCTTGTCTTCTGCTAGCTTTTGAATTTCTTTGATCTTGCTCCTCTAGTTCTTTTAATTGTGACTGTAGGGTATCGATTTTAGATCTTTCCTTATTTCTCTTGTGAGTATTAAGTACTATAAATTTCCCTCTACACCTTGCTTTAAATGTGTCCCACAGATTCTGGTATGTTGTATCTTCATTCTCATTAGTTTCAAAGAACATCTTTATTTCTGCCTTCATTTCATTATTTATCCAGTAGTCATTCAGGAGTGGGTTGTTTAGTTTCCATGCAGTTCTGAGGTTTTGAGTGAGTTTCTTAATCCTGAGTTTTAATTTGATTGCACTGTGGTCTGAGAGACTGTTTGTTATGATTTCCAGTCTTTTTGCATTTGCTGAGGAGTGTTTTACTTCCAATTATGCGGTCAATTCTAGAGTAACTGCACTGTGGTGCTGAGAAGAATGTATATTCTGTGGATTTGGGGCGGAGAGTTCTGTAGATGTCTATTAGGTCCACTTGGTCCAGATCTGCCTTCAAGTCCTGGATATCCTTGTTACTTTTCCGTCTCATTGATCTGTCTAATATTGACAGTGGAGTGTTAAGTCTCCCACTCTTATTGTGTGGGAGTCTAAGTTTCTTTATAGGTCATTAAGAACTTGCTTTATGTATGTGGGTCCTCCTGTATTGCATGCATATATATGTAGGATAGTTAGCTCTTCTTGTTGCATTGATCCCTTTACTGTTATGTAATGCCCTTCTTTGTCTCTTTTGATCTTTGTTGGTTCAAAGTCTGTTTTATCAAAGATGAGGATTGCAACCCCTGCTTTTTTTTTTTTTCACTTTCCATTTGCTTGGTAAATATTCCTCCATCCCTTTATTTTGAGCCTATGTGTGGTCCTTGCATGTGATAGGGGTTTCCTGGAAAGAGCACACTGATGGGTTTTGACATTTTATCCAATTTGCCAGTCTGTGTCTTTTAATTGGGAGATTTAGCCCATTTACATTTAAGGTTAATATTGTTATGTGTGAATTTGATCTTGCCATTTTGATGCTGGCTGGTTGTTTTGCTCATTAGTTGATGCAATTTCCTCATAGTGTGATGGTTTTCACAATTTGGTATATTTTTGCAGCAGCTGGTACTGGTTTTTCCTTTCCACGTTCAGTGCTTCTTTCAGGAGCTCTTGTAAGGTAGGCCTGGTATGACAAAATGTCTCATTATTTGCTTGTCTGTAAAGGATTTTATTTCTTCTTTGCTTATGAAGCTTAGTTTGGCTTCATATGAAATTCTGGGTTGAAAATTCTTTTCTTTAAGGATGTTGAATATTGGCCCCAATTTTCTTCTGGCTTGTAGGGTTTCTGCCAAGAGATCTTCTGCGAGTCTGATGGGCTTCCCTTTGTAGATAACCTGACCTTTCTCTCTGGCTGCCCTTAGCATTTTTTCCTTCATTTGAACCCTGGTGGCTCTGATGATTATGTGTCTTGGGGTTGCTCTTCTTGAGGAGTATCTTTGTGGTGTTCTCTGTATTTCCTGAATTTGAATATTGGCCTGCCTTGCTAGGTTGGGGAAGTTCTCCTGGATAATATCCTGAAGAATGTTTTCCAACTTGGTTTTATCTTCCCCATCACTTTCAGGTATATGAATCAAACATAGGTTTGGTCTTTTCACATAATCCCATATTTCTTGGAGGATTTGTTCATTTCTTTTCACTCTTTTTTCTCTAATCTTGCCTTCTTACTTTATTTCATTTGATCTGCAATCTCTGATATCCTTTCTTCCACTTGATTGATTCAGCTATTGAAACTTGTGTATGCTACATGAAGTTCTTGTGCTGTGTTTTTCAGCTCCATCAAGTCGTTTATGTTCTCTACACTGGTTATTCCAGTTAGCATTTCATCTAACCTTTTTTCAAGGTTCTTAACTTCCTTGCATTGGGTTAGAACATGCTTCTTTTAGCTTGTAGAAGTTTTTTATTACTCACCTTCTGAAGCCTGCTTCTGCCAGTTTCTCAAACTCACTCTCCATCCAGTTTTGTTCCCTTGCTGGTGAGGAGTTGTGATCTCTGGAGGAGAACAGGCATTCTAGTTTTTGGAGTTTTCAGCTTTTTTTGTGCTGGTTTCTTCCCATCTTCATGGATTTATCTACCTTTGGTCTTTGAAGCTGGATGAGGTCTCTGAGTGGATGTCCTTTCTGTTGCTATTGAAACTATTTCTTTCTGTTTGTTAGTTTTCCTTCTAACAGTCAGGCCCCTCTGCTGCAGGTCTGCTGGAGTTTGCTGGAGGTCCACTTCAGACCCTGCTTGCCTGGAAATCATCAGCAAAGATTGCTGTTCTGGCAGCTTCATCCCAGAAGGGTACCTGCCAGATGCCAGCCAGAGTCTCCTATGTGAGGTGTCTGTCAGCCCCTCCTGGGAGGTGTCTCCCACTCAGGATATACATGGGGGTCAGGGAGCCACTTGAGGAGGCAGTCTGTCCCTTATTGGAACTAGATCACTGTGCTGGGAGATTCATTGTTCCTTTCAGAGCTGCCAGTTAGGGACATTTAAGTCTGCTGAAGCTGTACCCACAACTGCCCCTTTTCACAGTTGCTGCATCCCAGGAAGGATGGGCTGCTGTCTTTCTTCAGAGATGTGCTGCCCAGTGAGGAGAGGGTCTAGTGACACAGTCTGCCTGCAGTGGTCTTGCTGAGCTGCTGTGATTATTACTCACCTTCTGAAGCCTGCTTCTGAAGCCTGCTTCAGTTGCTGTGTAAACTTCCCAGCAACTTTGTTTACCCATGCAAGGTTAAAACTGCCTACCTGAGTCTCAGCAATGGCAGACACCCCTCCCCACAACGAGCTCTAACATCCCAGGTCAAGCTCAACTGCTATGATGGCTGGGAGAATTTCAAGCCAGTGTATCTTAGCTTGCTGGTCTTTGTGGGGATGGGACTTGCCGAGCCAGATAACTTGGCTCCCTGGCTTCAGCCCCCTTTTTTAGGGGAACAAGCGGGTCTGTCTTGCTGGTATTCCAGGCGCCACTGGGTTATGGAAAAAAAATGGCTGCTGCTAGCTCAGTGTCTTCCCAAACAGCCACCTAGTTTTGTGCTGGAAACCTGGGGTGCTGGTGTTGTAGAAGGAATTGCCTGGTGTTCAGGTTGTAAAGACCATAGGAAAACTCAGTATCTCAGCCAGGGTGCTGGGGAAAGTCTCTAATGACTTCCCTTGGCTAGGAGAGGGAGTTATCTGGCCCCTTGCACTTCCTGGGTGAGGTGACACCCCAACCTGCTTTGGCTTGCCCCCCTTGGGCTGCCCCCACTGTCTGACCAGTCCCAATGAGATGAACCAGGTACCTCAGTTGGAAATGTGGAGATCACTTGCCTTCTATGTCTCTCTCACTGAGAGCTGCAAACCAGGGCTATTCCTATTTGGCTATCTTTGGAAAAACTCTTCATACACTTTTTAGACATGTGTATGTCTTCTTGTATTTCTTTTGTGAAGAAAGGTATACTCAAATCCTTGACCATTTAAGCAATTTTTTTTATTGTTGAGTGTTAAGAATTTTTTATATATGCTAAATGTCAGTCCCTTATTAGATATGATTTGCCAGTATTTCCCTCATTCCATGAATTGTCTTTTTATTTTCTCGATGGTATCATTTGAATCATAAAAGTTTCAAATTTTGATTAAGTCCAATTTGTCTGTTTTTAAATTTTTTGTACTTTTGGTGTTATAGCTAAGAAACCACTGCATACTCCAGTATCAGAAAATGTTAACCTTATGTTTTCTTCTAATAGTGTTGTATTTTAGCCATTACACTTAGGTGTTAGATCAACTGCTAGTTAATTTTTGTACATGGTGTATAAAAGTGAAGATCAAAACAAGGGATTTTATGGCCAGGACTGAAAATGGAATGCATGAGTTCTTCTCACATTCTAGTTACCAGGACCCAGTTACATAGTAACTACAATGGAGACAAGAAAATGTAGCATTTCTGTTTATTCAGGAAAAAGAGAAATTGGATTGGTAAACATCTAGCCAATTTATGTTACAAGAGGGTTTGGGTTGTGTTTCTGTTCCATTTTTTTTTTTTTTTCATAATAGAAACAGTATTGGCATCCTGGCAGTCTGGCTTTTTCAGCTGGAGGTCAACATTTTCATATGTAAAGTGGATTCTTAAAGTGTGTTTCTTTTTAGCCATGGAGGTCTTAAGAAATCAGTCAGGTGCCACCTTGAGAGGAGGCTATGGGAGCGGTCTTTTGGTCTCCGATCCTCACTTCTACCACAACACATCTGTTTTAAAATTATTCTAAAATTTGAGGGTTCTATGTAGAGTGTTGTTAAAAAAACATTTCTATTACTAAAAAATGTACATTTTAAAAACCACTTAACTAGATGAACAATAAGCTTACTTTCAGCTCTGATACTTGCAATACAGAATTGGGGTTAATTAATTCACACATGAATTCAACAACCTACCTTGTACTATAAACTGGACTAGGCAGTGAGGACATCTCTATAATGCATATACCATAGCTAACAAAACAAGGAATTCATACCTTTTGTAATGGTTTCTTGCATGTATGCTTTCTGGCTCTCCACAAAACCAATTTTTCTCCAAATATAAATCTCTCCAATAAATGTTTACCTGAGTTGTATTGAAAGGAAAAAAGAGGTTTTGTTAAATTCCGATTATTTTCACCTTTTTATTATCATATTTATTCACACTTTTTCAATTTTTTTTGTTTTCTTTTATCTACAGCAGTGGCATAAGAAAATTATTTTTAATTTTTATCAAAGCAATATACACACATAATTTTGAAAATCACATAATATTAAATGGGTTCAAATAAAAATCAGTAGTCCTCATTTTATTATTCTTTACTTTTGATTCCTGTCCACAAATTTGATTCCTTTCTTCACTTTTGATTTCCTGGAGATCTACAAATATTTAAAATATTTTAATGCACTTTTTAAGTTTTATTTCCATGTATAATATACTTTTTGATTTTTAAGATTCAGGTATTGTATACAAGATTTACTTTACAGTTGTGGGTTGAATAGTGTCTCCCCAAAAATTTAATGTCTGCCTGGAACCTCAGAATGCCACCTTATTTGGAAGTAGAATCTTTGCAGATGTGATTAATTAAGGATTTTGAGGTGAAATTGTGCTAGATTTAAGGTGGTTCCTACATCCAATGAGCAGTGTCCTTATAAGAATAGGAGAGGATACATAGACATGGAAAAAAGTGCACGTGAAAACAGAGACAGAGATTGGAGTTATGTTCCCACAGGCCAAGGAATTCCTGGAGCTACCAGAAAGCAGCAAGAGGCAAGGAAGGATTCTCTGCTAGAGCGTTCAGAGAGCATGAACCTGTTGAGATTCCAGACTTTTGGCTTCATGCTTGGTGATCATATACATTTCTGTGTTTTAATTCACATAGTTTGTGGTAATTTGTTACAGCAGCCCTTGAAAACTAATAGAGTAAGGGAGGAATCTGCTTACCCACCCCTGCCCTATTTTAGCCCATTCCTTTCATTCCCATGCCTACACCTCTATTCCCAGAAATTTCATGAAATGTTTTGGTTAAACGAATATTTACATTATTATGTTCACATACATATTTTTTACTGCAAAATGAAGTATACTATATGATATGGTTTGGCTCTGTGTCCCCACTCAAATCTAATGTTGAATTGTAATCCTCACATGTCAGGGGAGGGACCTAGTGAAAGGTAATCAGATCATGGGGGTGGATTTCCCTCTTGCTGTTCTCATGATAGTGAGTTCTCACAAGAGTTGATTGTTTAAAAGTGTGGGGCAGCTCCCCCTTTGCTCTCTCTCTCTCTCCTGCTTTGCTGCAGTAAGACATGCTTGCTTCCCTTTCACCTTCAGTCATAATTGTAAGTTTCTTGAGTCCTCCTAACCATGCTTCCTGTAGAAGCTTCCTAGCCTCTGAAACTGTGAGTCAACTAAACCTCTTTTCTTCATAAATTGCCAGGTAGTTCTTTATAGCACTGTGAAAACAAATTATTACACTATGATTTATTTCCTTTGTTGACAATGACCTCCCATACCTTTTCTTTTTAATTGCTTAATTTTCTACAAATCTATTACAGTTCTTGCACACTTCACAACAAACTGCCAACACATTTCCCATATTAAATACTGTATCAGTGTTTTTGTTATTGGTGTTTTTCCCTAGAGTCTTCTGGCTCTGGTCTGGATTGGTGCTATCTGCTACTGCTACATAGCTATCACCCTAAATCTTGCTTTGCCATCTCATTCTGGATATTCCCGTTGTCTCTTTGTTGTCTGGGATTTCTCATTTCCTGGATGCTGTACCTTTCACCTTTTTGCTTATTTGCTTATTTGGTGAAGCACATTCCCCATGGTTTCCTGAAAAAAAGATATTTGGAGGTAAATTTATTGATACAATATGCATCTAAAATGTCTTGATTCTGCCTTTGTTAGTGTGGCTAGGATGAAAATAACTTCCCCACAGAATTTCTAAGGAATGTCTTAATGCATTCTATATCTAGTGTTGGAACATTAGATGTTTTTCTGATTTCTGCTCCATTGTGTATAACTCCCCTCTGTCTCAGAAAGCTTTTAGCATCTTCTATTACTTGAAACATGAAATATTGTTATGATGTATCTTTGCATGGGTATTTTTTAATCTTTTGTTTACATTGAATATTAGCAGGACATCCTTCATATGCAGTGGACTAGATAAAGAATGTGGTACATATATACTACGGAATAGTCTGCAGACATAACATGAACAGAATCATGTCCTTTGCAGCAACATGATGCAGTTGGAGGCCATTATCCTAAGCACATTAATGCAGGAACCGAAAACCAAATAACCACATTCTCACTTATAAGTGGGAGCTAAATATTGGATACTCAATGACATAAAGATGGCAACAGTAGACACTGTGAACTACTAGAAGGAGGAGGTAGGGAGGTATCAAGGACTGAAAAACCAAGTTTTATGTACTATGCTCACTACCTTGATGAAGCACCCATTCATATTCTAAACCTCAGCATCACACAATATGCTTATGTAACAACCTGAACATGTACCCCGAAATCTAAAATAAAAGTTGAAAGAATTTTTATGAAAAAAATCATCAGATATATAATCAGGAAGTGACCTCCTAAAGCCCAAAGGTGGCCATTTCCCTAAGGAAAAATAAACACACACAACTTGGCTAAAAATAATAATATTTAAAAGATGCTCCAAGTTTACCTTGTATATTCCCTACCCTAGTCCTAAATTTAGCCATTTCTTCAATGAGTCCTGGTTCCTTTTATTGGAGAATGGTATTAGACACTAAGATCTGGGTGCTAGATGTGCTCATTGACACTCATGTGCTTAACTTATAGGCCCTTTTAGCTAACAGAGCAAGGAAATATGTATTTATAGTAATAGTTACATATTTATGGAAAGATTCCTATCAATATTAAGCTAAACATGAGTCCATACAAATGTGTCAAATAACCCATTATCACACAGATCACCCTAGCCTTCTCCCTTTGCCTATCTGTAAATTTTCACTCCAACAGTGAGAAACCTAGCTTCCAACCATCTGCTATCCACTTATTTAATTGTTCAATTTGAGGAAATGTGTATAGCAGCATCAGAATACTTATCTGTATCCCCATGTAAAACAACTTTATCACCTAGAGTACAGTGCTTATATACAGCTGCTTTTACTTTTAGTTTTACAGACTACACTTATTTCCAAATTTACTTAGGTTAGCATCTTTCTTTCATGCCTTTTAGTGAGGTTGTTTGATATATTTGTAATACAGTCAGATTCTTTTGTGACAGTGTGGATCCATTGCTGAGATTTCCTAAACATCCTCAATGATTTTTAAAAACTTACATCCATTAAGGCTACTCTTTGTATGGTAAGGTTCTATGGGTCTTGGAAATTGTATAATGTCATATATTCAACATTATAGGATGATACAGGATAGTTTTCACCATGCAAAATAGTACCCTGTGCTTCACCTATTCAATCTTCCCCCACCCTTAAATCATAGCAACTGGTCAACTGTTTGCTATCCCAATAGCTTTTTCAGAATGTCATATAAATAAAATTGTATAGTATGTAGCCTTTTTAGATGGGCTCGTTTATTTAGCAATATACACTTAGGATTCATCCATGTCTTTGCATGGCTTTCTAGCTCAGTCCTTCTTATTTCTGAATTGTATTCCCTTGTATGAATGTACACTTTGTTTACCCATTTCCCTATTAAGGACATTATATTAGTCTGTTCTCACATTTTATTAGTATCTTTATAGATACTACCTGAGACTGGATAATTTATAAAGGAAAGAGGTTTAATTGACTCACTGTTCTGCATGTCTGGGAAGGCCTCAGGAAACTTACAGTCATAAGTAGAAAATAAAGGAAAACCAAGGCATGTCTTTTCATGGTGGCAGGAGAGAGAGAGAGACAGAGAGAGAGAGAGAGAGAGAAATGGCCAAACACTTCTGAAGCATCATATTTTGTGAGAACTCCCTCAATGTTATGAGAACAGCATGGGGAAACTGACCCCATGATCCAATCACCTCAGACCAGCTCCCTCCCTTGACACATGGGGACTACAATTTGAGAAGAGATTTTGGTGGGGACACAGGGACAAACCATATCATTACATTCCTGGCCCCTCCCAAATCTCATCCTTTGCAAATTTCAAGACAAATCATGTCTTCCCAACAGTCACCCAAAATCTTAACTCATTCCATCATTAACTCAAAAGTCCAAGTCCAGAGTCTCTCATCTGAGACAAGGTAAATCCCTCTGCCTATAAGCCTTCAAAATCAAAAGCAAGTTATTAACTTCCAAGATATAATGGGAATACAGGCATTGAGTAAATGTTCTCATTCTAAGTGGGAGAAACTGACAAGAACAAAGGGGCCACAGGGCCCATGTAAGTCCAAAACATAGGCAGGCAGACATTAAATCTTAAAGTTCCAAAATCTTCTTTGACTCCATGTCTCATATCCTGGGAATGCTGATGCAAGAAGTTGGCTCCCATGGCCTTGGCCAGCTCTGCCCCTGTAACTACGTAGGGTATACTCCCTGCAGCTGCTTTCATGGGCTGGCATTGAGTACCTGCAGCTCTTCCAGGCACATGGTGCAAGCTGTTTGTAGATCTACCTTTCTAGGGTCTGGAGGACAGTGACTCTCTTCTTACAGATCCACCAGGCAATTCCCCCAGAGGGGACTCTGTGTGGGAGCTTCAACCCTATTATTTCCCCTTTGCATTGTACTAGTAGAGGCTTTCCATGAGGGCTCCAGCCCTATGGAAGACTTCTGCCTGGACATCCATGCATTTCCATATATCTTCTAAACTCTAGGGGGAGGTTTCCAAAGCTCAACTCTTGTCTTCTGTGCACCTGCAGGCCCAACACTATGTGAAAGCCACCAAAGCTTGGGGCTTGCACCCTTTGAAGCCACAGACAGAGCTACACCTTGGCCCCTTTTAGCCATTGCTGGAACTGAAGTAACTGGAACATAGGATGCCATGTCCCAAGGCTGGCCCAAGTAATCATTTTTCCCTCCTAGGCCACTGACTTCTGGGCCTGTGATGGGAGGGGCTGCCTTGAAGATCTCTGAAGTGCCCTG